AAACTGAGGGGACTAGTCCGCTGCTGGATCACACCTTGCCAATGTTAACTTACCTTCGGAGTCACCAAAGCCAGTGCTTTATGCATTCTCCAGACTTTAGCAAACCAGTAGACTCCACGCCCCATCCAACCTTTACTTTTTTCTTTCTTTCTTTTTTTCTGTCTTTTTTTGTCTTTCTTTTTTTTCAAGAACAACCCGAGTGGATGCTAGAGGTGCTGGTAAAAAAAAAAAAAAAAAAAAAAAAAAAGAGGTGCTGGTAACAGCAGGCACCACTACTGGTAGCATTCCAGGAGCATGGTCCCACTAGCAACGGGGATTGGATTAAGATCCTGAACCTGGGCGTGTTTTAGGCAGAGATGCAGAAAAGGAGTCCAATCTCGATTTTCTGGACTTGTCCACAGGCGCAGCCAGATTCAGGCGTTCAATCCAATCCTGTTTGCTAGTGCGACCTCGCCCCAGGTGAGAGACTCCATCTATTGATGGGGAGCAGGACCCCTGTTGGAAAGCGGGTGCACCGTCCAACCTTTACTTACACTTTCCACTCACTGACAGCCAAAATTGCAGTACGAATCTGCTTTTTTTTTTTTTTTTCACCAACTGGATTTGTTGCTGACTTGCTGTGACTTGTAGCTGCATACGATCGTGCTAATTGCTAATTGCGAACCTCAAATTGGCTAGCGCGCAAGCGGCTCTTTTTCCATTTTTTTGCTTTCTTGACGACAGGTCCTTGGTTTGTGTTTTCGTTCTCCTTTTCCTGACAACCGGTCCTTTTTTCGTTTTCTGATAGTAGAATGGCAAATCGAACAGCAGTCAGGCGGACACACAACCGTAGTCTGGCTTCACTGTCAAGACTCAAGAGGATCGAATCAAGGTCCTTGCTCCACTACCTTCTTCCTCCTAACATAACACATATGAGTTGTATTCAAGTTTTCAAATTTGAAAAAAAAAAAAAATCGAATAGAACGCATATGCGTTGTATTCGAAATTCAGGGCTATACGAATAGAACACATACGCCTTGTATTCGAATAGACGGCGCCCTATGCGTTGTATTCGTTTACAACACTCTGTCAAGAGGATCGAATCAAGGGCCTTGCTCCACTACCTTCTTCCCCCGAACATAACACATATGCATTGTATTCTAGCCCTGAATTTCGAATACAACGCATATGCGTTCTATTCGATTTTTTTTTTCGAATTTGAATTATGCGTTGTATTCAAGTTTTCAAATTTGAAAAAAAAAAATCGAATAGAACGCATACGCGTTGTATTCGAAATTCAGGGCTATACGAATAGAACACGTACGTTTTGTATTCGAATAGATGCCACCATATGTGTTGTATTCGTTTACAACACCCTGCGCATAGTTGTCAGACATCACTCTCCAATTACACCACACTCTCCAATCATACCACTATCTGGGTTTCTATAATAGTTCCCAGCCTGCAAAATTCGGTACCACGGAGAGTCAGTTGTTCAAGGAACTCAACCGATTTTGAGAGTGTGCCTGGGGCCAAGTCCCACTTAACCGAATCCTCAGTTTCTGACCGTAGATTCCAAAGATCAACGTTCAGAAATGAAGACTTGGCGTAAGTGGGACTTGGGCCCAGGAGTCTGGCCCGTCGAAATGCCGATGCCAGGGCATCTTCTACCGTCTTTCCCCGAACACAACACACCATCATTTTGACTGCATCAGGACGGAAAGATAGTCTGTACTGTATGCATTCATTATCAGGGTGCGTTATGTTCGGGGGGGGGAAGACGGTAGTAGTGATGTCACCACGTCGGGTGGTGCTCTCACAACAAACTGCAGGTTTCGATAGCAGAGAGTAGTAGGTGGAGCGATACCGGGGGCTAGGTCCCACTTGCACGAATCAAGAGATAGAGACCGTAGATAGCCGAGATCAACGGCCGAAATCTCCTAATCCGTGCAAGTGGGACCTTGCCCCGGGTTTTCGAAGATTTGGGATAGTCTGACCGGTTTTCGACTCGACCATTTTTTTTATTTTTATTTTATTTTTATTTTTTTTTTGGACCATTTCTCGATTTATGCGTGTCATCCTTGTGCAGGGGCCATGCTAATCTTCTCTTTCTCTGTATCGTTCCAATTTTAACGGATGTCCCGAAGGACACTCGACCATTTGCGATGGGCTGACAGCTGCTGTAAAAATGAAACATCCAAGTATGTGGAGAGTGGATAGAACCGGAACGAGGCCCCATTGACAAGCCATTCACCCAGGAACCCCAACTATAATAATAACACGTCTGACTCAAAGAGTTTATACTCCTGAGAGAGAAACGCGATCCCACTATATATATATAGAACCGACAGTCTGTAGAGTTTTCCATCTGGTGTGGGTGAGTGATAGTCTACTTTGATTTTGGTTAAGGTA